ATGCTAAGCTACAGCTAAAAGTGCTACCGCCAGACCCGGAGATCGGCTGAATGGATTCGAAAACGGTAAAACTCAACTGTTTAACTCTAGGGGAGTTGGAAAATGAGCCTATTTTCAAAAATAGTGGAGTGTTCCTTTAAGTGGCAAAAATTCCAGAAATTTGGAAAAAATAAATTATAGTTCCTGCAGCTACCACTCAAGCCCCAAAGGAATTGAATGATTTTAGGCTGGTAGCGCTCACTTCAATAGTTATGAAGTGTTTTGAGAAGGTAGTTAAGGGAGAAATCCTACAGCAGTCCAAAGGCGGTTTTGATTCTTTGCAGTTTGCTCTTAGAGAGGTTGCTGTCTTTCACCTCTTTTGTTTATGTACTACTAATTAAATTAATTTAATGTCTTTCCTACTATGATGATTCTGTTTCATAAACAATTTACTGAAGCTCTTCTTTCCTTTTCTAAGTAAGGAAATTGCACATTTCTTGCTCAGTTTGGACCTAAAAAGGTGTTTTTTCCTCCTCGGGTATGAGCTCTATATTCTCCTATATCATACTATATGAGCCATAAAAGCCTGATGTATTAAATATAATACTCAAAAAAGCGCATCTGCAAACTTTATTTGTGTGTTACTCTTGTTTAGATTTCTCTCAATGTTCTGAAAAGCAACTGTTCAATTCAAACTAAAATAAAAGAAAGAGTAGTACTATTTGAATACGCATGTGACCTAATAGTAATTCTTTGCTACAGACGGCACCATTAATAAACTTAAAAACAATGAAAATAAAATTTTGCAAATAAATGAATCGAGAAATTTAGATAGACATCACATTTTGCCGTCTAAAGTTAAAGAATTAAGAGTAAAGCGTTAAGAGCCTGAGGAAGAGGGCTTCCCCAGATGATCTTGGTCCCTCCTCCCAAGGTTTCTTCCTCACCTACTGCTTTTGTTTATGTAATTTAAAATTGACATGTTGCTGTCAGATGTAGTTAATTTTCCCATTAAAAAAGAACGAGATATAAGAAAGAGTTTGTTGCATTACTTTCCCTATCGACTAGCGAACACATGGCAACTTTGCAATTGGGCATCGACACATATCATGACTTCCGCTAAAATGAAAAGTGGTTCTATGATAACGGCACCTCTGTGCATCTCCTGCTTAGGAGCGAAACATGCACCTTGTCCTGTGCTGTAGAGATGAAGTGGTTCTGGGTTTCAGACCCTTCTCTCACACCCAAGCTAAATGCAGCCGATACTGGGAGCTCGAATCCGCTCTATGGGAGAAGATCTGTGTCACATCAGAGCGCAAAGGAAGGTCAGGTGGGTTTGTAGAGCTCTAAGCCCCTCCCACCACAGCAGTCAATCACCAAGACAAGTCCAGATGAAGGCTGAGCGATCATCAGCTCAAGCAATGAAAAAGAGAGGATGGTTTAGGGTCTGTGTCTCATGGTGGCGAGGGCTCAGAGAACAACGGTACAAACAAGTCGGAGGGTACTCTGCTCTCTAGACGAGGTAGTGTCGCCCCTCAGGTGATCTGCTCGTGTGTGGAGGAGGCTCTGACACCCCTGAGAAGCACCGGACTCGTGCATCCGAGGAAGCGAGTCACAGATACTGAGGCTTCTTGGAGAGCTCGGGTTTTTGTCTGGTGTCCTCAGAAAATAAAGTGCCTTCCAGACCAATCCATGTGTTGTTTTGTCTTGATTTGATCATGATTGAAAATATGTTCAATATGCACCATTGCAAAACACCCCAACTCTCACAGAATGGCTACATATCAGTTATGATATATATATAAATCAGTGTTGCATAATCTCGCTGCTCCTTAAGAGCCACCTTTCAGCAGAGTTTAGCTTTAACCCCAGTTAAACTAAACCAGCTAATCAAAGTCTTCTTTGTGGTCCGGGCAGGTGTGTTGGAGCTGAACTCCACAGGAAAGTGGCCCTTCAGGAGCAGGATTGGACACTCCTGATGATGTAAGTGATCCTGACTGACCCTGCTTATGTGAGTAACTTAATAAATACTACATAGACCTACACAAGACAGTAGACAATAAGTAGTGATGTATGATATTTTAAATCTGGGGTTTAGTGTGATTTGTGCCGTTAAGAAGCACCGTTTGACAACAGTATAACCAAAGAGGTTATTGGCCTTTCAGAAATGCTCAAAAATTTGTGACACGGAAGTCATCAGCAAAACATGACATAACACTAGCCTAAGCCGGCCTATAGTTCAAACTTAAATAAACCCATTGTAAGCAGTCTACAAAAAAAAAAAAAAAAAAAAATTTTTTTTTTTGGGGAAATTGCAAATTA